GCCGGGTGGGTGGACACCACATGCCGACCAACCGCACGTGTGTGCACCGCTGAGATCGGAAAGATGCCCAGACTGATGTGGACCCCCAGAAGCGTGACCTCGTGGGGACGACCCGCAGGAACACCTGGACAGGACCAGGGGAGTGCAAAGAAGCCCGCACGAGGCAGGAGGCTGCGTGTCGCCCCCGCGGTTCCCGCGCTGGCACAGGTTCACAACTGTGCTACCGCCGAGGATGAAACACTCAGGGAGCTTTTGCTAAATGCAAGCGGCAGAAGGAAATCCATTTTTTCAGGGCACTCTATTTTAATGAGACATTTATCATAGTCAATTACTCTTCACGGTCTGAAGTATCTTGGTAACGCTCAGATCATTTAGATTAAGACCCTAAAAGTAATTATCTGAGCCTCGCTTATAGTCTCTCTGATAAGAACAAAATGGACAACTACAAACTAATACTCTAATACTTTAACCCTCTGGCCTAGTACGCACGTGTGTGTGCACACGCATGCACGCAAGTGCACGAGAGAGACAGACAGAGAGAGAGACAGAGAGATCTAACTCCCTCTCCAAACCTCGCCAGGCGGGAGACCCTAACCTTCACAGTGAAGGCTTATGTGCCCTTAAGTTGTCTGCTCTTCCATATCTAAGACTCCTATCCATCTCTCAAGACCCATGGCAAACGTCACTACCCAACTTCCCAAAGCAGTTATTTAAACGCTGTTCTAGGCCCCCAAGACACTTCCACGTGCCTCTAACGTTCTGTAATCTTTTCGACTTAGTGCATTTCACAGTGCACTAAATTATTTGCCAGCATACTTCCCCTACCAGGTCTGAGGTCTCCGGTGCACTGTTATGCACTCAGCACAGTGCTGGGCACACAGTAGGTGTATACATGTGAAGGATGGATAGATGCATGGCCGGATTGACCCGCCGACCAGTAATCAACCCTCACCCCCGCCCCCAGAGCCAGAAGGACTGAGGTTTTCCTTGAATCACATCTCGATACACATTAGCAACACAGTTTGTCCCAGACTTCCACCTTAGGATCCCACACGTGTATTTTTCTGCATGAACAGTCTCTCATTCACCTCTGACCTTTTAGATCTATCCCCAAGGTAAATTTGGAAACAAAAGAACCACATAGTTGAAAAACAGAAGCGATCCCCAGTTTCCAAAACACATCTTAAATTAATTTCTGCTACATTTACCCATTCATTTGCTTTACACACGTGACTGCTTTTTCTCCAAATCTCCTATTCACCATGTTTCTTAACGAGGTCGGTCTTTTCCCGGTGTCCTCAATATTTAGAGCCAAAACTTCTCCGCGAGCGTTTACCGACCTCCACACGACGTCGCAGGCAAAAACTCCCGAAGCGCCAGCGTTTCATTTCATAACAGAATCGCCGCCTGTTTCTCCCCTTTCCTCCTCGAGTTTCCACACCGCGAAATGCAATAACTGGGTCGCTCCTCATCCCAACGGCAAACGTGGCCCCTGGCCACAGAGGGGCACGGACGTCGCCGTCACGCTTCCCGTCACCTGCCACAGGCACAGACAGAGCGAGCACCTGGCTGCCGGGGAGCCCGCTGCTCAGCCCCCCACACAGGAGGCAAAGCTGCACCAGCATCCCGTGCACACGAGCGTGACGGGTCGGGCGGACGAGACGCGTGAGTGAAGCCGAAAAGCCCAAACCGTGAGCTGTCGACGCCGAGCAGGAAGGGACAGTGCAGACAGCTAAGTCGCGCTCTCCGTGCCATGGAGGGAGGAGGACGGGGCGGCCCCTGGCCAGAGGCAGATGCGGGGCGAGAAACCAGGCCTCCAGGTCCCCTTGGGCTGGACACACCAGGACGACACGCCACCGTCCAGTTCAGCACGGGGCGGGGGACAGGGACGCTGCCTCCCCGCAGTCCTGAGCGCACAGTGACCACACGCGCGGAGGCTCGGCGAGGGCCCCGCCTGAGCTGTTTGCCGAAGCAGAGAGAAATCTCAGCGCCTCGCCCATTCCGACGAGCGGGTGTGGACGGGGCGCCGCCCACGCACGGGGGCCGTGGCTGTGAGGCGACTCTGCCCTTCTGATGCGACAGGGGGTACGGGAGCGCGATCAACTACGGCACACACTGTACGTCACTGTGTGACCGGAGGGAGGGCCGGACACGCCAGCCGGAAAAATCGGGCCGGCGGGGCGTGGCGAGGGCTTCGCAGACGGGGCAGTGCATCCACTGACCCGTAAAGACAGCACCCGCTTCCCTAGGGAGGGGACAGGGCGCAGGCAGAGGGGCACACTTGACCACGCTCCGAACCAGACAGGGCAGCGAGGGGCCGACGCCTGGCTCACGGGCAGGAGGGTGCGTGACAGCCCCGAGCCGAGGCTGTGCCAGGGACCTGCCACCGCGAGCTCTGGGAGAGGCCTGGGCCCAGGAGGGACCACATCTCGGGGTCCAGGAGGGGACTCTGACACTTGCGTGGGCACAGATGGAGACAAGGCCACTGGGCGTCATGCAGAGACCGCTGTAGACACTTCCCCGCACGGGAACCAGGGCGTGGGACGCGCCCCAGCCACACTGTCCTGCGACACGCGAGTCTGAGGGCACACTCGGAAGGCACGCGCCCATCACGCAGAGGGACAGGGGCCATTTTCGCCGTTTCTGGCACTGTCCCCTCCGCGTGGTGGGCGCTGTGTGATGGGAGCTGTCAGCTGGCCATGTGGCCACCCCTGCCCCACCCTCCGTGGGCTCGAAAGGCCCTAAACAAAGCAGCCAGGGGTCACAGAAAACCTGCCTCGACGGTGCTCTACAACTCCCTGCCCCGGCCACCTTGTCAGGCGGACTGTCACTCAGAGCCCGAGCCCGCGCTCCATCCCCAACCGGGGCCACGGACGGGGCCACACCAGCCGGAGGCAGCCGGATGAGCAGAGGCACGAGAGAACCCAAAGGGACAGACAAGGCTGAGCCGGGACAGCCACAGGAGGTTCCTGTGCCAAACGCAAAGTCCCATCTGCTCTCGTCAACCAGCAAAGCACGGGGGTTGCCACGTGGCCTTCGCACCTGAAAGCCAGTCACCCCTGCATGGGCGGGGCTCTGGGGGTGCACAGGGGTCCACAGGGCGGGGAGGAGACAGCACGGCCTCCATCTCTTCCCTCACTGATCACACCCTTTAAAAATGTCCGCCTTAACACGTGCCTCACAAAACAACATAACACGTGTGAACTGTATCTCATATTCACAATTGCTGAATAATTTAATACACGTGGCTGAAATCCAAACTCAGAAACGTGTTCTCGGTGGCGTGGTGTGATCAGAAGGGTCCGGAGGCCACTGGGATAAACCGCAGTCCGTGCCCTCCGCCCACTGAAGTTCAGGCTGTGTCCTGCACCCAGCGGCCCTTCACCGCGTTCAGCTGTGACCGACTCGAACCCACGCCACTTACCTAAACGTGAAAAGAACTTGACGGGGTGACAAAGAAGGACGTCACTTTACGTGTAAAAACTGAAGAGCTTCCTTCCATCTTGTGTCACTGCACTTGAAGTGTTGACAAAAATAACTTAGGAAATAAGTAGCTTTATCAAAACTGAGACTTGTGTTTAAAAAGCTACACTTAATCTTGTGCTTAAAAACATATTTTAAAATAATCTATTCCGTCAAGGAAGTGCCTTTTAAAAAGGACTTGAATATCTAACAAAATCAACCTATCTAGATTCAAGTTTTACTAAGGCAGAAAAGCCACCCTTATGTCATGTGTCATTAAAAATGGTGTGTGATACATTCGAAATACCTGGGCCATAACTTATTGTCACCCAGAATTTTTTGAGAAAAGTTTGATGCGACCTCCAATCCTTGCATATGCATGCACACACACGCACACACATGCACACATGTGTGCACACATGCACGCACTTGCACACATGTGCATGCACACACTCACACACACGTGTGCACATTAGTATACGGATAGGAAGGAGCACATTTTTCTGGAAAAACTTCTCCTTCTCTATGAATATGCTCTTCATTTCTGTTCACAGAAGACTCTGGAGCTTCTCCCATTCTGTGCTGCTTTCAATTTTCAATGTTTTGTACACTCTAATCAAAGCTCTCAGGTTGCAGGGAACGTGGATTAAATTCCCACGTGACCACCAGTCACGGGAACGAAAAACTAAAGGTTGATTTCACGTCCAGGTTTGTGTTGAAAACTCAAGTCAGTGCATAGTAACTAATGACCTACTATTCATATCCATACGCTTAGCAAAAATACCGTGTCCACTGTTTCAGAAACCATGCTGGCAGGAGAACAGGGCTCCGGAGAGGTGGTGTCGGTCCCCACCTCTCAAAGCAGAAGCAAGGGCGTCCTCTCTGTCCCCGAGCACCCAGAAAAGTGCCTGGCACCCAGTAGGCACCCAAAGGACTTCACTGCCCCGCCCCCGAGCAGCTTACAAGCAGTGGAGATGAGAAATGAGATAGAAGAAAGAAACTCAAAATACTCGCAAACAATCGCGGTGTATTTCTGTTCACATTCACAGACGAGAATATCCTGGGCTCGCTTCGGCAGCACATACACGTACAAGAATATCTGACAATCAACCCCATCTCCCTTCTCCAGCTACATAATGAAAATCTTATGGCGCTCAGAGGGCTTCTACTCCCTGCAAGCTCTATTTCTAGTTTTAATTACAATGCTTAGCAAAGCTTGGGAGCAGATAATTTCAGCTCGTTTCAAAAATAGCTCCCATTCAATACAAGAAGATGGGATTTTTCACACTTGTGAATTTTTTATGCACTTGATAATGAACACGGTTTGGCATCTGAGTAAAGCATTTTCTCAGAAGCTGGTCTAGTGAAGATCCAGGGCTGATATCTATTAATAAAAACGAAACGCTTTGCCTCAAAAAAGCAAGAACTCATACTCTCCTTCCAAATGGCCTCGGTTTCGATCTCTGGTGATTTATAATGGAGAGAAAGCGCAGTTCGGCCCCCACGGGCGGCACGGGAGCGGGGTCCAGGGCACTTACCGATCCGAACAGCTCCCCCTTCTCGTTCATCCCGAGGTAGAGGCCACTGTCCACGCCTCGGATGCTGACCAGGCCCACGGCTATACTGATAAATTCTAGAATGCCTAGGAGACAAAGGGCAGAAGAGAGAGGACAGGTCAGAACACAGAGCATCACTAGGACGTTCTGGGGGGACGGCGAGCCCGGCTGCCAAACCCCCGACGCTCTCACACGCCTTGAGGACGTGTCAGCATGACACGGAACACGCAGTCTAAAATAAAAGGCTAGCATTTACCTAGGTGCGCTAAGAAGGAACGTGACAGATAAACCAGTGCACAGACCCTAACTGACCGAAGAGAGTATGATTTAAAAAGAACAACTTCCAGTTTCCCTTTCCATGTAGAAATGTGAAATTAAGGATCTGTATCTGGGCATCGATCGGGGAAAAAGTCTCTGCAGAGAACGGTCTTATGTCCCTCGAAATAAGAGTGTGAGGTGCTAAGCGGAGAGCTGAGGGGTTTATGCAGAAAGGTACCCAGCCCTGTCTGGAAACTGAGACAGCCTGCACACACCCCAAACCTTTCTGCTTAAACATGGTATCGATTTTTGCTCTCCTTATCTCAGCCTCGCACAGATAGTTAAGGAATTAAGATAACACCACATTCTGGAAAAAACTCTCGTTACAGAAATGCTCTTGACTTGAGAGAGCCACGGAATACTGTATCCCAAAAACACATCAACGAAATTGCCTTCTATTTCCTTCCTTCGGCTTGGTGACCTCGCAGGGAATGACAGCATCTGAGCTGGCCGTAAATCCAGGGTCTTATGGCCCAGCAAAGGCAGCTCCAACTGTATCGCTGTTTCACCGTGACCGCCCAGCAGGACGTTGGGGACGATGCGAACGTGACTCATGCCGAGCCACCTTCTCGACCTTGTTCTAAAGTGCCAGGCCTCGTGCAGACCTTGCATGAATGCGTACCAGACACTGAGTTCTCGTTTTACAAACATTTCTAGGATCGAAAATGTTACTTACATCTTAGAGTCTAGGAAAATAAATAAATAAGGGTAAAAAAAGCTCTTACGCGGATTTTCAAACAAGTTTCCAGCTCTCGCACAGCAGACAGTGCTACAAGGAAGGAGACGTGACAAATACGTGGTGACGAGGAGACTGGCCTTTGGGTGGTGAGCGCCCAGGACAACAGACAGATGATATAATACAGAACTGCACACTCGAAACTCACAAAACTTATCCACCCATGTCACCCCCAATACATTTCATTTAAAAACAAGACACAAACGACATCAATAAAGCAAAGGGTGAAAAAAAAGAGACATTTCTTATAAAGGGGTACCCCCGATTGTTTTATAAAAAATACAAAAAAACACTTTGTGTTTACAGTTCACCGAATATCTATCTGGACCCGCGAAACTATTTATTTTTAGAGAATGTGAAACATCGTGTGGAAAAATATAGAGAAGTTACAAATTACGTTTTGGTTCTGATAATCCATCATGGAAGATACATCAGAAATAAGCGAGGTTTTTCCTAGCCTTTCCTACCTCACAAAGCAAATGGAAAGACACATAAGGCAGTATTTCCACGAGACTCATTCCACCCTTACTGATGCAATCAGTTTGTTTCATTGTACCATTTCTAACTCTTAGGACTGAAAATAATTAAACTTGTGGCGGTTAATTGCTATGAGGAGTCACATCCGTGCGACTCTCTTCTTAGCTACCTGAAAACACACCAGAAGACAGGTCATAGCTACGCTGACATCGGTTCCAGGAGTTGGTCAATGCCCAACTGTCACCAAGTAAAGGACAGGAGACGTGCTACCCCTCGGAGGTCCGAGCAGTTAGGCAGACCATGTCTGCGGGGAAAGGCACCCGCGCCTTCCGAGGGGGATCTGATGACCGTTCTGTCGCCCTCCACACAAGGGCTAGTCATGAACATGAGCCAACGTTGACTGTCAGGCCCGACGAGGAACAGTGCACGTGACCTCACAAAGCCATCTGACCGGCCAGTCTGCAGAAAATCAGGAACAGCAGTGACCATGGTGTAGGTAGAACAACTGAGCCTTTACCTGTGCCAAACGAGAGGCCTTCTCTCACTCAGCCCTCAGAACCACTGGCATCCCCATACTCCAAGCTCCAGTTTACAGCCGGGGACACAGGGGCTTGTCCCCGGGTGATAAATGACTGGCCCCAATCAACCAGACTCCAAAGCCTCTCTCCTCGTCTGCTGTAAGCATCTTAGCTCGTGTCACTCTTGTTCACCTGTATGTAGCCATTCCATGACGAGTGACGAGGTCGGACTCCACAGACCCCGTAGGGCGGACGAGGAGCCGGGCAAGTGAAGAACAGGTGAGTCGTTGGCACTGCGCGCTCTAGGACAGCTCTCGGGAGGGCAGGCACGTGGGCTCTTGACCCCGATTGTGCCTGTGCACGCAGCACACAGTTTCTGTTACATTCCCAAGTGACTGCTGTACACTTTGGAAATGAAAGTGTTAACATAGCTTTCACGCTTCTCTTTCTGGCATCGACCAGAGAACTGTAATTCACTGCACTGGCTTATTCAATCAACGAACGATTGTTGAGTGACTATGATAAGCCAAGCACCGTGCCATCTGAGGCATGTAGACGAATAAGGGACAGCCTGGGCCCTGCACCCTCAAAGGTGCAGTGTCAGAAAGGACAAACAGATGGATGTGACGACGATGTGCTGCGTGCACGGAGAGGGGGCCACTTGGGGACCAGTCGGGAGAGTCAGAAAGAAGCAGTGCCTGAGACAGGCCACGAGGGGCTTGCCGCCTGAGAAAGAACTACTCACCGAGTGACCCCAGGTGCAGAGACTCCGTCCCCTCAAACACCATCCACATCCCCGCAGTTCCTCGAAAAGTAGGGACCTCAAAAAAAGTCCCAGCTTTGCAGGAGGTCACCTCAGTGACCGAGGGCAAGTGCAACACAGCACACTTGAGTCACGGCCATTCCCCCAGGTCGGAAAGGCCTCGCCACCTGGCAGCTAGACCGACACGCACAGCCCCGGCCCCGACTGGAACGCGGCCGCTCCTGCTGCCATCCCGTCCCCTGTGGACTCTGTCACCTCAACCAGGCCAAGTGGCCTGGCGCTGGGCCTGAGGCCGGAGCCCCGCTCGAGCTTCCGGCCGCACTCCTGAGTACGACCCCACGCTGTCCGCTATATGAGTGTGCAACATGGAGGAGTGGCCCTTGGGTGGCAGCGGGTAGGGTGGGGGCATTTAAATGCTTACTGGCCCACAGGAGAGGAAGGGAAAGGACAGAGATGAGAAGAAGACAGGAAGCAAGGGTGGGGTGGGGTTGAAACTGTGGCCCTCACATGTGTCCCACGCTGGCACACCCTGGGCAGCCTCACTTCCGTAATGGGTGCTGAGGAGGACATGAGGGACACAGGGTCAGTGCCGGCATCCTGGGGTGATCTCCTTCCATGCAGCCAGCAGTCCCAATGAGGCCTAGAGCACTGGCTCCCATGGGGCCTGACGGTCCAAGGTCATCATCCCTGGTCCACAAGAGGCCAGGTCAAGCTCAGGAGCCACATCGGGAACGTGACCACCACAGACCGTCACCCGTCGCTCCGGACTCACTAGGTTTTTAGTGGTCAGCCCAGTGCTCTGTCCACACAGACCAGTGATGGAAAGCCACCTGCTCCCGAGAGCCCCCTGCACTGGGCCTCGCCCGCAAGGCCGTGACAAGGCCAGCCCTGGGAGGCGGCAGCCGCCTCCCGCCTACTCTGGCCGGTGGTCAGCAGCCCTCTGCCTACGAGCCCCCAACACTCAGCACCGTGCATTCTTCAGAGGACAAGAACACACGTGGGCTGGAGAGTCGTGACATGAGGCGTTGAGAATAGACCCTCCCCAGAGGCCCCTGCTCCCCAGGGGACCCCACGCCACTCGGCTGCCCCAACCCTCACCCCAGAGCCCGCATTCTAGCTAGTCCAGCCAATCTGAGCCTCTCAGGAAATGGCGAACCTTCAGGTCATACCCGCAGCAGCCAAGCCGGAGCCTGGCCTGGCCTTGTCCAGTGGCCACCCCTCAGTGAGATGCCCAAGGGCCAGAGGCCCACAGCAGTTTTTAAAGCGCAAAACCTTGCAAATAAGGTTGTTTTCACCTCCTTTTTAAAAAAAAAAAAAAATCACGCCATCATGCTTCTCTCCACTAGTGCGACTTCTACCTGGCCCCCTGGCCCCGCACCCCCACTTCCGGCTCTCATCTGGGGTCCTTGCCGGACGCCACTGCAGGCCAAAGGCACAGCAGAGAAGCAGGCCACCTTTCCACCAAGGCCAGGGCACCTGCCAGGCCGCCTGTGCCAGTAAACAGCCGTCCAGTCAGGCTCGGCGCTGGCTTTATTCCTCCACACGACCATTTATTTTCTCAGTCGATGGTCTGCTGGCTTTTTCTGTCTAGCAAGTGCTTTAAAGAGAAAAAAGGATATGAAACGAAACGTCTCGCTGCCCCAGCCTGTACCCCCGAGACACAATCCCCAGTTCCTTTTCTCCACACCACCGCCCCCAAAGGGAAAAACACAGGGCTCCCTCAAGGTCCCACCTAAGTTGTCAGCGCCGCAGCTCCTGCTGGGACGACAGCGAGATCCCCGCCCCCACGTCCCCTGCACTGCCGCTGCTGTGTCACCGCCAGGCTCGGCCGCAGCCGCAGTCACCTGCGGCGGCGTGGGAGTGGGGGTGGGGGGTCACTTCTCCAGCGCGCTTCCTCCTGCCGTTCATTTCAGGTGGAAAATGCACCTTCTATATTTAGACGTGCCCGGCCCTACCCTACAGCTGCTCTTCCTAGGGACGGGGAGGAGAGCCTGAGGGGGAGCAGCACGCTGTCCCCAGAGGGGCGCCGGGGAAAGAGGCGGAGGTGAGGCGGCCGCGGGGAGCGGGGCGCCAGGTGTGACGCGC